TGTGTGTGTGTGTGTGAGTTAAGATATCTCTTTGATACAACTTAGATAGAAAGGGTTAAGTTATTATCAACTGCAATCTAATAACCTTTGTTCTATTTGATCTCTGCTTATATTCTTACAATCACTTTCTTATGTGCCCACCATTTGTTCAATGTAATTTATTCAATTATATTTACGGAGACAAACACGAAATTTAAAAGTTTTCATTTAAAACGTTTATTTCATTTAGTTCAAAAAGCTGTGCATTATTTTTGTCAGCAACAATTACACATCAATTTCAGCATCGATTGTGTAGTAACATCGTAAACTTAAAAAAATACTGAAAATGCAAAATGCTTCAAAGATAATATTCAAAGAAAGATTTTTCTCTGTGTCAAGGCGATCTGTACAGGCGACATATTGGGTCCAGTGTCTGTGTAGAGTGGCCGTTTGTGGTGCTTCCATGTGACCAGAGCGACGCGTGCCGCAAACATGATGCAGGAAATAGCCAGGCTCAACACTAAAGAAAAAATCAAATATATGTAATTAATAAACAGTGCAAAGAGAAAAATGAAATTAATCCCAGAGAAGGAAAAAGGATGAAGCATCACCTGTAAAAATGTAAACAAGGTGTTCAAGAGAGCTGGAGTTGCTCAGGGTGCCGGTCAGCCACAGGATGACCACGGGGTAGATGGTCACAATATAACGCACATGCTCATCCAGGTAGAAGTTCTCTAACAGAAACCTGGGAAACAACGAGAGAAGTTTTGTCTTCCTTCGCTCGGGTGATGAAAAAACAGCCGACAGGTAAACGACATAACCCAGCAGGGAGTCTGGCTCACCAGGCGGACAGCTGCATGAGAAGCAGCAGCAGCGGCAGCAGGGCACAGCTACATCTGGATGTTTCTGTCTGATACTGTAAATATACCGTCAGGTTGAGGAAAGTGGAGAGCGCCCCCCATGTTGCATACACAGCCACTCCATTCTGCACCTGATCAGCACAAGGATTACGAAAATTAGCAGAGACATATGACTCATTTTCAGTTTCCTTTTTCTGTGATTGTAAAAGGTCTGCAAAGTTAAAAAGTACAAACTGCATAGTTTTGCATAACATGCATCATGAATGGCTATTCTGGTGCAAAGTCAATATTTCCTACATGCGCTGGAAGCAGTTGACCAATCACTGCAGAGTGGGCCTCATTGGGGGCGGGCCTTAAAGAGACAGGAGCTTAAACCAAGCGTTTCAGACAGAGGCTGAAAAGAGGAGCTGCAGCAATGGGAAGAAAGCATGTAAACCTTTTCAATCAATAACACAAATATATCTCCTTAAAGAATTATTTTCATCCAATCTTTAATATTTTTCAATCTTTTTTCATTGATTGTTAGGTTATAAAATCTCAGAGGATGTTTTCAAATGTGACAACTGCATCTGGAAATGTTCTGATCATCAAGAATTTCTCAGTAAGATTTAAACACAGTTTACTGTAGACACAACTTCATCTGTCACCTGTTATTTTAAGTCAAAAATTAATGCAAAGAGGGCCTGGAAACCAATCTCAAAGTTTGCTGTGGCCGGACTCCGGTGCTTCTGTAGCTCCCTAATCTCAGACAACAGTCGGCTTCGGCACAAACACGGTGGCCCTGAATGATTTGGTGAGGATTTGCTCTTCAGATGTGGCTGAAGGAGCCGCCAGAGGCCTTGAAACCTTATATCAGCAGTGTGCAGTGGGACTTAGCAAAGAGGATGTGACTTTAAAGGAGTAGCTTGACATTTTCAGAAGAACACATGACGAGATATAGATGCTACAACCTGGAAATGGTTTTAATGTTACCAATATTCTGATGAGCCAGAGGTCTGTGTTGTGATATTTGTTCAACCAGGCTCCGTAGATCTTCAGTCCATGACAGGAGAAGAAGAGAAGGAAGTAATCAGTGAGTGTCATCAGGGCTGAGGTTATCAGTGCTGGCAGCAGCAACCTGAAATAAACAGAAAAACTGACTTTTAAGCTGCTTTGAATGAAAAAAAATACAGTTTGTAATCTTTTTAGAAAAAGTGTGTGTATGTGTGGGCGACCAAAGTGAATGTGCACACTCACTCTCTGTCAAATAAAAACAGCCACGTGATGTTCAAGCAAATGTTGACGATAATAGAGATATGGAATCCGTAGGGCAGCAGTGCAGGCGTGGTGTACAACCAGTCGTAAGCAGTCCTGCAGGGAGCAGGGATAATATTGTTGGAGGGAGGAGAAATACACCAAAGCAAACAATCTGGGGAAATAATGTGTCTTTCATACAATGCCAGAACAATCTGCAACATGTAAGTGAGTGCACGGAGGAAGACTAAATTGCCTCCGGACGAGGTAAAGTGATTTCTGGCACAAGTGGACGAGATAAAAGTGTGAAGAAATAGAAGGTGTGAAGCAGCTTTGAAGAATTATCCTTTATGAAATAATGCAGAATCCTACCTTCTGCAGAGTCCCGCTAAAAAGTATATAAACATGGCAGAAATCCAAAAGTAAGTGAAATCCCAGACAAACAGAGCCCACGGTGCAGGAGTGAACTGTGTCGTGTACTTCAGCGTCACATCTTCCGTGCTCTGCTGGAAAACACCTGAACCAAATTAAGCACACTTTCATTTATTTATTCCACACACAGTAATTTACAAAACTATGCTTTCAACTGGTTTGGTAAATATTCACCTGATTCAGCTCCAAATCCTGAAAGAGAGTTTAAAGTGATTGCGGCTAAAAACATGAACAATCCAAGAAACATGAGCACGACGCGGGCCGAGTTGTGGTTTACCATCATGGTCTGAGGGTAAAAGTCCACAGGAGGTTAACTTGGCACAAAAAACCCCCCAAAAGTTTCTTTGTACTTTAAAAATCTTCTATCTATGGTTGAAAAAGTTTATATTTCTTCTTTCTGACTCTAGAACAAATCTAGTCCAGTGTCTGCAGCTGTGAAAGAACAGCACCTATCATTGTCTGATCTGGGATGAAAGATAAGACCTCTATAATGTGTCATCCTTTTTTATGGCCCTGCACTATAGTCTCCTGTCATAAACGATGATCGGTTGTTAAAATAAGGCTGAAGAGTCCAGGCTAAAGGACCAGACAATGAAAAGAAAACTAGTATACTAATATATTTTACTTGGTGAAGATTTTTTTTAATATTTTGAGGCCATAGAGAAATAACCTGGGCAAACATAAGCTGCAGCTCGGACAGCTGCCCCACTGAGACATCCTGACATTAGTATTGACGAGGTTACGGCTTTACGTGACCTGGGAGAGGGATGACATGTTGCACAGGGTCCAGGCTGGATTAAACCTCGGTCGCTGGAGTGAGGATCCAGATATGTGGTGATCTACTTCCATTCATATCTGCTTTCTATTTACGTAACACCATTCAGATACAGGGTGATGCAAAGTGTGTTACAAAGGTATGAAATGTAATAAAAATAAGAGATTAAGAAGACATTCAAATTGGATTCGAAGGACATTAAAAGGGAAGAGCTTAAATAGTTCAGTTTAAAAACATATGTCATTTATTGCTAAATTGCAGCCTCTTGCAGCAAACAATAGTGTTTGAGGCCCTGATGTAAAAGCTCAGCTTTAGCAGACCTCATGTATTCAGGAAGTTTCTTCCACAGGTGTGGAATAAATTCTGATTCTGAGTAAACCTGTCCCAGGTGACATGAGCCGCCTGGATGCTTTGTCGCCTGCAAGTGAATCAGAGATATATTTAAGCCTGAGATAATTCAATGCTTTATAGAGAAGTAATGGGATTTTAATTGGCACACACAAAGGAATTTAATTGGCACAGAGAATGAGTGTGGACTTGTGTGATGTGCTCCACTTTGTTGAGCTGCAGCTGTCTGGTTGATTTTTTACTTAGACCTATAAAGAAACCACAACAACAGCCTGCTAACAATAAAAGCATAAAGACATTTTTATGTATCCTGTTTGGACAGAAGACCTTTAGTTCTTATGTCTTTATTGTGAAGGTAGGCTGAATGAAATGTCTTTAGCTCCAAATCTAACAACACAAAGAATTCTGGCTTGATTTGTAGTTTTTGGGGTCTTGGAGCACAGACGTTTAATCTGATTAGTTGTAAAAACTTCCATTTGCTGCCTCTGACAGATAGGCAGTGATTCAGAGAACGTAAGAGACTTTAGTCACTTTGTCAAAGGTGTGTGTCATCTGCATAGTTGTGTTAAAAACTACTGTTGTATTGAAAGGAGTAAACACGCAGATGTTGAATGGAAGAGGACTAAGAATGGAACCTTGTCATGTGATTGGTCCCGATCGTGCTACGATTTAAACCAATTTAGCACAATACCAGAAACCAATCCACTTTTCCTATAAGCACTGATATCCAGTAATATTCAAGAGGTAAATATTGTCTTTTCCTGTACATGTTATCATGTTTGGGCTGAAGAGAAAGAGCAGGAGTGATATATTGATTAATACTTCATGAAATACACATGTATGAGTCGTCAGTGCAGGTCTTGTGTGTGCAGCTTTCCTCCACACAGTGGCACCATCACATTATAGTGTGGCAGTAAATGATATCAGCTCTGTGAATTAGTTGAGGAGTGAACAGTATAAACATGGAGGATGATTTCAATGAAATAAAATCTTATTTACATGAATCAAATGCACTACATTGATACAGTCAAAGCATTTTTACAGTACAAGTCACACTCACAGAACCTTTTCTGTTACACACACTTCGGCTGGAGGAGCCGGGGATCAAACCGCCGAACAACAGAACCACAGACAATCAGGACCTCCTGAACCACTGAGAGGCCAAATATTACAGACCATAAATAGTTTAAAAAATCGATTAGGCCTAATTTGAGGAGTTTTAGTGTCACATGTTAAACAGTATTGCATTTAAGTTGTGAAATTTTAGCTACAGTACAAAAACTAATGAGAATAATAACACTCCAAACAATAAAGTCACATAAAAACAATCCTCTGTGTCTCTGTGTGTTTGTGGACAGACAGGCTGAGACAGCTTGGGTTCAACCTTCTCTAAAGGCTTGACCCAGGAAACCTCCCCTGCCGGCTTCCTCATCCGGCACCAGATTTTGCCATGTGGTGTATTGTGCATCACCCTCAGCAATAATTAATGCAGGGCTCCCGCAGGAGAGCTTGAGATTAACAGCTGTATCCAGGATGGAAACACAGGTGTGCACTCGCTCTCTTATGTCGTACAGGTGACTGGGTTCACCTGACACCTGATTCGTGTGGGAGAAGATAAAAGCTCATGAACAGCAGCAATTCTTCATGAGCATCGAGTCAACAAGCTCCTCTCAGCGCGTGAAGCTAAATTTACCACAAGGACACTTAAAACCACTGTTGACTTTACAGCAACACTCAGAGCAGCATTTAGCTTCGCTGCCGACGCCGTGGTCCCACATTGTCTGAGCGAATCTTCCTGACTGACTGATTGCTGTGACCCGTGCTGCTGGCAGAGGACAAGGCCCAATTTGTCGGCCGCTCATCACCTAATGAATGAAATCATATCCAATTACACGCCCGCCATCTTTGATCACGTACGTTATGAGAGACATGAGCATGATGGGTATTATGAAAGATCACACTGGTAACACGTTATGATTCACTTTATGACTCATGTCGGGCTTGGCAACGATGCATTCTCATTGGATTTCAGCACTCACGTCCAAAAGTGGTAAAATATTCAAATATTTCGATTTTCTTTTTTATGATGCCAGCAGGAAAATAAATCACCAGTGACAGTGACCAGTAGATACACAGAAACCAGTTTGATCAATCAACAGAGAGAGAAATGATTCTTACATTTTAAATACTTGTGTTTGCCAAAAGCTTCCCTGGCATCGTTTCTGTGCAGCCTGGATTGGACAATTGGGACGTTCCCTACATGAACCGTTTAGTAATTAGGGAGCATGACTAACAAGCTCTGTGTATTTGAGCTGTTTATTTCCTCGCAGCCCAGGCTCTGTGACTTTCACGCCATATTTGCGGACGACATTTGTGGGTCCCTGTGGAGCCGAGTCACATCCTAATGTCACAATTACGCCGCCATGACCGAATAGCGGTGGCTGTGCCAACTAGATTACAAATGAGGATGGCAAAGGACGGCCGAGGTGAGCACGGAGGATATCAGCCCTGAAATGCAATCAAGATTCTGTCATTAAGATATTGTTTAGAGCATCATGAAAACTGTTCAGACTGCGCAGCGCTGCAGAATTTAATATTTTACGATACCACTTATTTATTTGTCAAGATAAAAGATCCAAAACAAGTTGGTGCTCAAGCGTTTCTGAACAAAAAAAGTGTGTTAAACAGAAATGAGGTTTGTTAGGAAACTGTATAAAGAATGATTCATTTCTTTTGACTGGCAGTAGACTCCGGAATTTCTGCTCTGATGGAAGCTCCACATGCATCACATCCAATCTGACTCCTATCCCCGCCTCCTCACATCCGACGAGCCATCACAAGAGATGAATCTCCACATATGAAACCACTTTGGTCTGTAAAAGGCTGTCAAAATAATATTCTCATCCCTCCAAAGGGCCCTGTTAACAACCTCTGTCTGCTGCTGTGCCGTGTTATCGCCAAACATCAAGTTTGGACACAACACGTAGGATTTTTTTTTTTGTACCGTCACTTCTTTCTTGTCACTGAGACCCAGGGTGAAGGCTTGAGGTGGGGGATGGGGGGGGGGGGGGTGGATCACAGACCTTTCAAACAAACCAAGTGATGTCGGTTTAATCTGACTTTGAGGATCCTGAGCCCTGAGGTCACGTCTTGTCAACGAGACCTAGAGCTGCGATCATCACTCCTGCTCTGAGTCGCTGCTGTGAGAAAGTAACAGATCACCGTCGTATGACAAATGTGCTGCGATGCAAAATGAAAAGGCTTTTTGTTGTTGTTTTGACAGCTCGGAGGCACTGGGGAATATTTCTTCACATTTCAAAGGGACGTTTGTTTTTATTTCTGGTTTTGTTAAAGTCACGTGCTGAACAAAGACGTATTTACTGATAACTGATATTTGATTATTTATAGTTTGTTTGCTTCTCAGGCAAGTGAAGGCGGACTTGAGCTGATCCAAACAAAAAGCCCACTGGAGGTAAATTGAACGATTACAACACATGTTACAAGATGGCGGCCTGACAAACATGAGGAGCGTATGACGGCTGCAGAGAGACTGACGTCAAGAGAAATGAGTCGACAGCAGTTGTGCCTTGCAGCTGTTTGGCCCCTCTGGTCTGTGTAATGATGAATTATTCTATTAAAAGAGGATGTATCTCATTAAGGTGCACACACTGTAACTGTGCTTACTGCTGGATGTAGAGTGATGATCCCCTCCCATAATCCAGTGATATCACAGCTATCACAGCAAATGTCCGCCCGCAGCAGTCTCTCATTCACCAGCTCTCTTTCTTTCTTCCTTTCTTTCCATCCTCCGTGATTTACTTTCATATCCCTCCACCCCTGCTTTTTCATCTCCGAATCCAATACTGTCACTGCTGTAAACTCCCAGCAGCAGAAATACACGGTGATTTAGTGACGTTGTTAGAGCGTCTGAAATGCAGAATTGCTTGATTCCTGGGAAGGTTTGCATGGTTTTCTTTTTCACGAAGGCATTTTATTTCCTGGAAAGCACCTTTAGGAGATTTCTATTCTCAGTACATCCAATAGAAACAGCACAGTTACCTTTGATTGTCAACATGCATGGTGAGAAATGTGTCTGCGCTTGTTGCATTTGGTTGCAGTGAATAGAATAGTACAGTAGAAT